AATGTAGGCTTACCAACTTCAGACAGTATCTTCAGACTACATGCTAGCAGAATGCATGCCAGCAAGAAAACGGAAACACAAACAGCAGGGTGAAGAAAAGAAGTCTCAGGCAAGGAAGATGTAGGCACTATGTTTGAGAAAAACTTTCTACAGTAAGAGCAGTTAAGCTCTGGGACATTGTGGTGGGTTGACCCTGGCTGGACACCAGGTGCCCACCAAAGCTGTTCTATCACTCCCCCTCCTCAGCTGGACAGGGGAGAGAAAATATAACAAAGAGCTTGTGGGTCGATAAGGACAGGAGAGATCACTCACCAATTATCATCACGGGCAAATCAGACTCAGCTTGGGGAAAATTAACTCAATTTATTACAAATCAACCAGAGTAGGGTAATGAGAAATAAAACCAAATCTCAGAACACCTTCCCTCCACCCCTCCCTTCTTCCCAGGCACAACTTCACTCCTGGATTCTCTACCTACCCCCACCAGTGGCACAGGGGGATGGGGAATGGGGTTTACAGTCAGTTCATCACACATTATTGTCTGCCGCTTCATCCTCCTCAGGGGCAGGACTCATCACACTCTTCCCCTGCTCCAGCGTGGGGTCCCTCCCACGGGAGACAGTCCTCCACAAACTTCTCCAACGTGGGTCCTTTCCACGGGCTGCAGTTCTTCATGAACTGCTGCAGTGTGGGTTCCTTCCATGGCATGCAGTCCTTCAGGAGCACACTGCTCCAGCATGGGTCCCCCACAGGGTCACAAGTCCTGCCAGAAAACATGCTCCAGTGTGGGCTCCTCTCTCCACAGATCCACAGGTCCCGCCAGGAGCCTGCTCCAGCATGGGCTTCCCATGGGGTCACAGCCTCCTTCGGGCATCCACCTGCTCCAGCATGGGGTCCTCCATGGGCTGCAGGGGGACAGCCTGCCTCACCATGGTCTTCCCCACGGGCTGCAGGGGAATCTCTGCTCCAGCGCCTGGAGCACCTCCTCCCCCCTCCTTCTTCATTGACCTTGGTGTCTGCAGGGTTGTTTCTCTTACATGTTCTCACTCCTTTCTCCAGCTGCCATTTTCCCTCTGTCCCAACTTTTTTTTCCCTTCTTAAAAATGTTATCACAGAGGCGTTACCACTATCGCTGATGGGCTCAGCCTTGGCCAGCGGCGGGTCCATCTTAGAGCCGGCTGGTATTGGCTCTCTCGAACACAGGGGAAGCTTCCAGCAGCTTCTTATAGAAGCCACCCCTGTAACGCCCCCCCCCTCCCCTGGGCTACCAAAACCTTGCCACACAAAGCCAAAACAGACATAACCCTGGGAGAACATAAACCTTCATCGTGAGTTTTTTAGGAACAGGCAAGACAAACATATGTCAGGAAAGTTCTAAGAGGAGCTTTAGGGCCAAGGGATGACCTCTGAGCCTCTTTCAATCCTAACTCCTTTGGTCCTGTGATTAACAGTCACAACTTAAAAATGTAATAAACAAAAACAAAAGGAAAGGATTAATGGAGGTCACTTTAGATGGTAGTTAGCAAGCCACCCCCCAAAGCCTCTCTGAATGGCTGTCAAAGTTTCCTCAGGAAGTGACAAAGACAAGAAACTTTTGCCTTAGTCCTAAACCTGCCAATCTCTTCTGCGGTTGCCACACACAATTATGTCAGGACTTGGCAGAGAGCTGTAAATCGCTCCTCCAGCCTGCATAAAGAAAACGTCGGGAGCCAAGGCACATGGCACTCAGTAGCCAGAGCCAGATTAGGAAACCTGGCAGTTGCATGCCTGGCCACATTTCAGCACTAAAGCATGGCTCAGGAACACACCAGCCCCCTCCGCCCCTCTCTCCTTCACCCCCTCAAGAGGGTGCCCACTCAGGACAGAAACACTGCACAAGTCAAATGGGAGCTACACTTCATTTCGCCGCGTAAACTGAGCTGCTGCTAAAACTTGCTCAGCCCCAGAAGCAGGTGGCCTCCAACAAAGGGACAACTGCTATGAACAAACAACAGACCAGACCCAGAGACCAGCAAGAGTTTGGGGTGAAAAGACAAGACTCAGAGCAGATGCTCAAGAGTTTGCACTTATGAAGACCAACACCTTCTCCGTGCAGACACCTCGCTGCCCAGCAGCAATAATTTACTGGGGGAAGTAGTTTAGGAGCAGGCTTGAGGCCACTTGCATGGCAACATACTCAAGAGAGCTATTAAAATCGTACCTCCGTAGCTCTTACACCTAAGGCTGTGAGGCACTGAACAATTAGGCAGGCATCCCGTTCCTGCCAGCCCACCAGCAAGCTGGAATGAGGTCTCCTCAAAGAGCACTGCCTTCTCAAATTCATGAATAACAAAGCTCTGCCATCAACAAAGCCTGCCTTCCAAACTGACTCACACCGAGCCTGGAGCTGCTCCAGATTTCCTCTCTGTTGTTCTCTTGCTGGTGTCTCCTTCAACACCCACAAACCCCACGACCATCCCCTTCTTGTGCACTACTCCAGGCTGCTCCAAATTGCTCCCATCACACCCACAGAGAGTTTTAAGAACACCAATATACTGTGGAGGAGGAGGAGGAAGTGAAAGGCAGATACCCAAATCCCAGTTTTGTTAGATTTATGCTAGAAATTACCGGCCAGCTTCCCTCCTGGCAATGTGGGGTTACATCCAGGAGCGGATAACTGATTCCCCATGTCTCCTGCAATGGCTCCAGGCCAAACACTGGGCCTGGAGTACTGCACTAGCTTATAGGGCTGGCAGCATGGAGAACAGCTCTTGTTTCTCTATTCCCCTCCCTCCTCACCCTCCCACCTGGACCCTCTACAGCCGAACAGGGCTTCAGGGCTTGTGGAGAAGCTGGCTTTGCAAATGTTGCGTCAGCTGCAATTTTTCCTCATTGGGGAATTCTGAGCTGGCAGAAACAGCCCAGGCCCTTTGCACAGCTGAGGGCCACAGACCATCAGTGATCCTCCTATCTGATTTGGAGGTGCAGCCTAGGGCTTTGTCCAGAAGTGGGACAGGGCAAGGGATACAGGTTTACAAACTGATTTTATCTCTATCTCTAACAAGGACTGGAACTCATCTTGGGACTTGGACACACCAGACTTGGCTGATTATCAGGGGATCTACTAGATACAATACAGATTAACCTACCAGGTCCAGGACCTACTGAAAAGGCAACTGTCAAGATTCCTTTTGGTAGGTCTGAAAATGTATTTTTGAGTTGCCATCTAGCTTTCAAGCAGATCAGAAGATTAATGCCTGCACTTGTTCACCCCGACCATTATGGAGTTTCTCTGTTCTGGAAATCTGTCTGAATTTACGGAGGGGATTCATCATAGAAAGGATTCCTCTCTTTTGGGAAAACAGTGTCAACCTGCATGGTAAATGAGGTGTCTATGATCAGAAGTAGACGGTCTTCTAGGATTACACCCTATTAAAACTCAGGAAGGAACATCTCACTAACTACTAAGCAACTAAAACTACACTTACATCTTCCTATGTGTTCCCACTGCCACCCTATCATTTTAATGAATCTACAGAGTAATTGCATACTCCTAGTAACACAGAGCTGCTTTATAGGTTTCTTTTCCTGTCTTAAAATAAGTAAACAATTGCCTTGCAAAACCTCCAGTACGTTTCAATGTTACAAAACAGCAATAAATAATGGGCAAGAGGAATGTCATTCCACAAGACACTTCATCTCTATAAGATTACAGGGCTTTCTGCTGGGAAAGAAAAAAAATACAGACACGTCCACATATTCTACCACAGACTCCTCACATTTGTATAAACCACGCTTATTTTGTCTCTATGCCATTTTAAAAGTTGAAGGCAAGAATTCTAACTGAGAAAGGAGGAACGGTCACAGCCAAATACTTTGGGTTGAACTCTCCAGCGCCCTGGCACTTACCCCAGGGCAAGGTACCCACTCCTGCCGGCCTAAGTGTCAACAAAAATTGGAAAGAACTGGAGTGTCTCTGTTTTTTACATGTTCAGCTCACTTGGGATGCATGAAAGGGAATTCACTCTAGAACGCCTTCATTCATGCAGCTTTTCTGAATGTTTATGGAGATACGGAGCTAAAAGCAGCCCAAGTCACACCCGGTAACTCGAGATGTTTGATTTAAAAAAAACCAAACACAAAACAAAAGCCCAAGCAGCGATGCTCTGCTCACCGCTGTGCAGAGAGATGGCTCCGTTCTCCCGGCGGCGTTCGTAACAACTCGGCGAGCGCGTTTCGCTGCGAAGTTCCCTGCGCGCAGGTCAGAGAGGGGGCTGGCCGAGACAAACTGCAGAGCTAAGCACATTGCTACTCCAGATGTGAAACGCGCACACGGGCTCGCCCAAAACCAAACGGAGAAAAAGCAACGGCAGGAAGGACGTTCCTGTACGGAGCCGAGCAAAAGCAGCTCTGAGCGGGCCCAGGCGAGCAGCTAAACAAAGCACCGACACCCCACCTCGGTGACAAGGGGCCGGGGCGTCCGGCAGAAGCGGCCGCCCGAAATAACCTCTCGGGGCGGGCTGCGCGCTGCCGCCCTCCTCGGCTTCGCCTCCCACCATCGCCGCGGGGGCTGGGAGAAGCCCGACCTGCGGCTGACAGGACCTCACAGCCTGCCGCGGGGATGGCGGGCAGCGCAGCCCTCCCGGACGCCTTTCGGGGCTCCGGCACCGGAGGGAGACCCGCCGCCGGGAAGCGCTGGGGGAGGCGACCCCCAAAGAGAGCCCCGAGCCCGCTACGCCCTTCTCACTTTTCAAGAGTTCAGAAACACGACAAAAGCAAAAACAGAGTCGCCCCCCCCGGCCGGTGCGCGGCTGCCAAGTCTCGGCGTGAAGAGATTCACCGCGGGCGAGGCCCCCCCGCCCGGGAGACGCGGCGCCCCTCCGGGGTGGGGGGGGTGGTGCGTGTGTGTGTGGAAGCGTCTCGGTTTTCAGCGAGCACCCCACCTCCCTCAGCCCCCAGCTGCGGGGCGGGAAGGAAAGGAGGGAAGCGACCCCCCACGCACGCCGGTCCCCTCTACTCACTCCAAGCAGACACACTTTCAGCTCGCGTATCGCCATCATCTGCCCGGGGC